CCAGCGCAGTAGTTATGGCTGCCGAGTGTAAAAACCTGAACCCATTTATTCTCCAGCCCACGTGTGTATTTACCATGAGCCACTTGAGCGTTACCTGCCATCTGTTGGGTATAATTAGAGCACAGGTTGGTGACCTCTGTATCACACACACGCAATACTCTGCAGCTTGCTTTCTATTATTTTTGTTTGAAGTGTGATGAGAAATATAGAGAATCAAATAGCACACTGAATTCTTTCCTGCTGTATCAAAATTCAATAAACGTTATATGCATTTGATTAAACTGTGATCCTACTTTATATAAAGCTTGACGACGGGGGAGAAACACACAGTTCCAGGCAACACTCATTTAATGTTCTTCCCCAGCTGCAGCCCTAGCTGTTAACCTTTCTCCAGGTCATCGAGATTTCTTGTCCTTCAATAACATTGCTTTCTAGTTAAGTGCAATATTGCACGACTTCCTGAATTGTGATGACTCACTGAAGGAAGAATGGTTGTATGTTTGGATGAGTTTTATTGTTCATGTGCACTTTTCTATTATTGAAAAGGTAATACACTAACCTTCAAAGTCCTATGTCTGACTTGAACATGCAGAGACACACCCAGGAGTATCATTTCTGGCAAGAGGGGACCCGACAGAGATAAGGGACAGGGGAGCAAGAGGCCTAAAAGCTGGAGTTTAATGTAAACTAAATTACTGAAGAGAAGCAACATGGCAGCACAACTTTAATCATCCTAAACCTTGATCCCATTTGCCACTTGTCAAGGCTAAAGGATTTAAGCAGCACACACTGTCAGGATATTGAAGAGAGAGAAACAGCAACGACATTGTTGTGGTGCTGATGCAGCAAAATTCGATTTCCATCTCTAAGAACCAATGGAACAAGGGATGTTGAGTGCTTTTGGAGAGCATGAAAGATGAAACCTGGTATGCAAGGAGTCTTTAAGAGTACTTCACTGCAGTGCACATGTACCAACACACTCAACAGTGGTGCACACAATCCTTTGTTCCAGTAATGGTGTAAAGCTGATGTGCACTGCAGTGGCATGAAAGCCATGTCTCGGCAGCTCTCTGGTGACCTCACCAAGGACTCTACTTTGAACCAAATTTTTTTTTTTTTTTTAATCCTGTCTGGCAGACTCCTCCACCTCCCAGCAACTCTTTGCACACACACAGCATTAAACTCTCACATCAAATGCAATACAACTTCATTTCAAGTTTAAACACCTAAATTATTCCCATTTAGTCCAAGAACAATGGCTCAGTAAAGTTGTCCTGTGAGTGTAGACAAAGCTTTAAGGGTAGCACAGTTACTGAGCGAGGCAGAGGAAAGATTACTGATGAAGATACGTCATAATGCAGTATGCATTATGCATGCAGTGACAATTTGATCTATTGATCTGCGTCTTGCTGGCTCACAGGGAGCATCTGAGTTATAGTGCTGCCATCTCTCCCTGCTACCACCAGTAAAGAGCCGTCTCTCCAGAGAGGTGAGCCACCACACTGTTACAGTACACGCACAGCTGCAGACCGTCCAACTATTACACACACACAATACACAAAACATACACATACAAATGCTTCTGGTTTAACAACGTTAAGCTGCCAAAATTGGCTAATAATGCCCCAGCACAATGTTTTCTCTGTGGAAGTGACAAACTCTCCTGTTAACACTGCACTATATGTTACTGTACATAGTGCTCTGGGAAAATTGTTAATTTCCACCCACGTAATGCTTGACTTTAATGTGCAAACTGAACCCGAAGAGGAGAAATTGTGGTGATTTTCTTTCTATTAAAAACCTCTTATTTACATCCTGGGTAGATTCTGTTGGTTACTGAAATGTTTCAATACAAGAATGAGAATCACAATCAGCTTTTACTGGCCAAATACATTGAACACACAAGGAATTCAACTCCAGTACAGTGGCTCTCAATGTGCTTTCCTAAGGTGGCAAAATTATTTATAAATATATGTACATTGTCATAGAAGAGCTTTCAGATTATTGCAGTGGTGGGTGTGAGGGGTCTGCAGAGATCTTCTCTGCCCTTCTCTTGAGCCATGAAGTTTACAGGTCCTTCATGGAGGCCAAATTGGCACCATCCTTTCTGTTGTAGTCTATTCCCAAACCAAAACAGAAGTGATGGATGAGCACAGAACAGACTCAGTACCGGTGCCAACAAGATGCATACTGTACTGACGGTTTGAGAAACGTAAGCAGGTTATTTATTTACCAAACTGTGCCACACTTCTCAGTGCTTTGATACTGAGGTCTACAGACACATTGACATACCATACCCTGATGTACAGATTACTGATAGTGACTTGTTCTGCTGGGTAAAAACAAATCTCTTGCCACTTACATACAAAAATTAGTTTATATGGTTGCTACATAGCTAACTGTGTTGACTTAGCCTAGCGGTTTTTGTTGTTACTGGCATTACAATTATGTTTCTCTGTGTCAGCAAGTGACAGCTGGTGTTGTTTAACAGTTAAACTAAAGGCCGAAGAGTCGTGTGCTGTGTGACACCGGTGCACAGAATTTTGTTCTGTCTGATGAAGAAATACAGACATACACAATGAAAAATCTAGACCGCTCCTTTGGCTTCTTCTAGCCGTTTGCCCTAATACTGTAAACCAAAGCATCTTTTTTCATTCCACAATTTTAGAACACAGCATTTCTACTTATTTTTAAATTACACTGTTAATCCAGTGGGTAGCTAATATGCCTGGACTGCTTGCACAGCGAAACCTGTTTTCTAAAAGCTCATGAATTCTTTTTGCTGCTGAGATATTGTACAGAAAACAATTGAGAGCAGTGTGTGTGTGTGTGTGCACACTTGGGCATATCTGTCTCAGTGCATTACCACACACAGATCAATATGGATTCTACCCTCTCTTTGCTCTCCCTTGTCTATTGGCCTGTCTTCTCCACTGGCTCTCCTGCCAACTTCTTTCTTTAGTCCCCTCCTTCCCTCCTCCACACAGCACCTGAGAGACACTGTCATCTTCCCAGCTGGACAGTGGACGCAGCAGCAGCAGAGTCAGTGATGAGCATCAAAAGCAAGGCGGTTTTGGGGGATCACAGAAGTGATTGGCGGCCATTGGGAGCAGCCATCTCCTCGGAGGATTCACACCCACACGCGCAGACATTTACACAAATAATGTATTCACTCACACATATGTACACATTCGCACACACCTCCTGTTTCTGCTGTAATTCTCAGTCCTCTGCCACCCTGCCAGGCTGAGGCCCTTGATCTGCCACTTCCTGTAATCCTCTATGGGAGAGGGGTGCAGCCAAATGTCCTGGTGCACCAGCCAGGCAAATGAGCGCACATACACACAAGCAGGCATATATATATGCACACACACTACAAACCAGCATGTACTGCAACAATAATGACCTTCAGGACATAGATCCATATCAGCACAAGAATCCTAGGATGTCTTTCACAAAACCTGCCACAACTTGCTAAAACACATTATATAAAAACCCAGGAGATGCATTACGGCAAGGGAAAATATATGAATCTCAAAATCTCCTTGTGCCACACTGGTATTGTTGCCATCAGATAAAAGGACCGGGCTGACTAAACAGCAAATGACAGGGGAAGATAACCAGTACCAAAGAATAGATGGTTGACTCCCCATTCACCTTCCACTGACTTTGATAAGACTATCTGATCCACATCATTCAAACAAGAGAAATTCCTCTGTTCATTCAGTTTCAAAGTGACCGGCTTCGGGCAACAGGAACCCTCTGACAAGATCATTTCACCCAGAGTCAGGCTAGTCTGAGGGAGAACTTGTTTTGATCTCTAAGATGATTGGTTATGGCAATTTTTATGCCAAGAGGTTAACCAGTCTGGAGTTCACAGGAGTAATGTAGCAGTCAGCAAGACATACAGTGAGCTCCATTAAGTTCATTCACCAGTTCCTGTGCCAACCCTGACATAATACTTCTACCAGAGGAGGGATTTCATTTCATTTCTCCTATTAATTCATGAACACAACACCACTGCCAAATTCTGCTCTGCTTTGGGTGAGGAAATGTGTGGTTTCTTTAGGAACATTTAGTCATTGCTAGAAAACCAGGCACATCATTATCTCCTGTCTCTCAGTCTGCCTTTAACAAGAGCAAGAAGACACACTAAAGTTTCATGGCCTGTCAACTATTCTTTTTTTATAAGCCTGGTAAACATGGCTAACTAGATTCTATGCTCATCCTCCTCCTTTTATTATCACCTTTCCAATGCAGGTGAATGAGACTGAGTTACAGCCATAGCTGCCAGCAGGTGGGAACAAGGAACAGCCAGGTGGACGACTCTTCATCACGCAGTAATGAGCTGGCAAAAGGTTGTCGGACAGGCAGTAGAACACATGGAGGACCTGTAAAAGCAGCCTGACACAGACGAGCTTGCAGGCGTTCTCTGAAGCATACGACTCCCCTTGGTGCCATTTCACTGCAAGCTATTGTTCCTGTTTGTGTAAATGCCCTCATCCTGCAAGAAAACTGACACGAGTTTCCTCAACCATTTATGTGCGCCTGTAGCACATAATTTAATATATGGCTACATGTGGACTTTTTAATGTCCTTCTTGTGATTTAAATTGTGTGAGCAAGTGTAACTGCATGGCAGTGTCAGTAAAAGCAGCTAAAACATTAGATTGAAGGGGTTTTGAGCTGAGCTTGTTCTTAGTCTGTGGCTTAAGCGTTGTTTCACCATGTGACATCTGAAACTTGGGACTTTAAGGTAGAGACGAATCAGAGATTTTAGTCTAAAGCTCACAAGCACACAGAAAGCTCCAGGGAACTGTCAACACTTCAGTGCTACAGAAAACTCTTCAGCACACTCTAAAAATACACTAAAACTCAACGAAGAGACATCAGCATCTGACCATAGCAGCTCAGACATCTGCTCACTTACCTGCTGCTGCCTCTCAACTAAAGGAGCTGCCACAGCAACCTCTAACATCTCAGTGGCAACTCAAAGGATACAATCTGAGAGCTCCGCTCTGGGTGCCAATGGCCAGTATCTTCTGTACGGGGTCGAAAGCCATGGACGACGGCTGATAGGGGAAGCCATGACGTACAGTCTGGGAGATATGGGGAAAGATTAAAAAAGACAATGTGTTAGAAAGAATTTCACAGCAGGGATGTTGTTTTGTCAGAGGATATCACACACCTGATTTTGGTAAACAAATGGCCCAGACGGATGTGGAAAGTGTTATGAAACAAAAATCTAAAGCCTGAAATTGAGCACAGAGAAGAAAATGAAAAAAAGGAACAAATGCTCTTTCTATGCATGGGTATCCTGTTCTCTGTGATTTGGCTGATATTTGGCTTTGCTATAAAAACCATGGGCCTATTTTGAGATTTCTTCTCTCTTTTTATCTCATTTTCCTTCTCTCACCGCCTCCCACGTGAAGTCGTGATTACACTGAAGTCTGAGAATAAAATACACAGAAAAAAACATCAGTAAGAAGTATTCGGCTACGATTTGTTGCAGGGCCTTCTAAAGATATGGTGTTCCTTTTTTTTTTATGTCCACCCTCTATAGACGCATGTGTCATTGTCGCTTTGCCGCGTCAGTCAGCCAGCGCTGGGCCGTTGGATATGTTTGCTTAGTGGCAGCAGGCTGAAGCATGTTACATAAGAAGCATTCGGCGCAGCAGAGACACCTGCCTTCTTTGCAGACAAATATTACAGCAAGTTTCTGTCCATAGAGACAGTGAAGAGGCAGGAGAAAGGCTGGAGTCCTGTTCAAAGAAACTCCCATCAGATGCCTGGTTGCTGACAGACATACTGTATTTAGGCTCCTGTGGCATTCAAACCTGTAATCTCTCTGCTGGTCTTTCTAGCTACTAAACCACAATATCCCCTAAGCACTCGGTATGTTGACTTGACCCCTGAGTATGTTATTAACTTCAGGCACTCTAACGTCTAACAACTATTAAGACGATTACAGTTTTAAAAAGTTAATCCGCCCAGAATTTGGATTTCTGCACCTCATGGTGATGTTTGGCTGGTTGGTTGTTGGTGTCTATACAAAAGCCAAAGACAACATTTATGCAGCTCTTCCGTGATGCTTACCTGCACACAGACACTCTGCCAGGTAAAACAAGATAAAGCCTACCAGTGGCAACGGGCTGTGGCAGCTACCAGAGCTAAAGGTTGTGTTTTCATATGAAGAACAACTGCACAAGTCTGCATTTCAGAAAGATAAAACCTACAATTATCTGACAGACATATTAGCAATTTACAGTTAAAAAGCAACAAAAACCTTTATAAGAATCCACAAACAAACCTGTCACATTCTTAAATATGTGGTTACATTCAACAGCAAGCACACAGAAGTGTTTATAAAAAGGCCACACCAAACCAGGAAGATACACTTGAGGAAATCATGATTTAACATTAGAGTGGGCTAAGATGTAGCCTGCACAGCATGTAAATTGCCTGACTGTTCATTAACCCCATCCATAATTGTGCAAGAAGGATGCCCCCCCCCCAAACAGCCCCCAACTCTCTCCAGGCGCCAAGAAGGGGGTGTAGAGACACTGATCAAAATGAAGCATGAAACGGGAACGTACACACATCAACCAGAAACCACTGCTTTGCTAATCCAAACTCAGCAGATTATGCAAGAGGGGATCAATTTGGCCCAACCCCTCGATATGACAATGCCAAGTGCACATACAACAAAAGACGGGGTTTTCACAGAGGGTAGCCTTTACCGTCATATACAATACAATGAGACAGTTTTTCAAAAATTCCAAGTAAAATTACACTACAAGAGCATGCAGGCAAATAGGAACTTATTGTTTCTACTGTCCTGTAGCCAGTGCGCCGCACAGTATGCGCATTAAGTATATTCCTTGAACAGCACAGAACGCTTTCTAAAAGGAATTGCTGCCTACTGTCAAATAAACCTTAAACCAGCAGTTGCTCCCCATAGTTTGTCCATAGAAGACTGTTTAATAAATGTATTGTGAAGAGCTCACCACTTGCACTTGATGTATCCTGAGAGAGGTTAAGTGCAAGATAAACTGTGGATAATACAAACAAAAGGACCACATGCGGATGGGGTTATCTGCAGTGAATACAGCTGTATAATCATAAAATTATCACTCTCCCCCACCTTGCAGATCTGGAAATGCTCGGACTGGAGGGTCTCCTGGATCAGATGGTTCTCCTGTGGCCCCACTTGGACAGACGGGGTGGAGGAGGACACCTCTTTCAAACCGTCCAGCACCTTCCTGATGTTGAACTTCTTCATTTTCAAACTGCAGAGCACGGAACGGAGATCACCCGCAAAAGATAAACACACAGGCTCGCTCTCTCTTCTGACTTCCTCTGTAAATGTCACATTTTAGTGCTTGTCTTTTAGCGCAGTCATCATGCTGGAAGGCGCTGGGGCGCACCGCACAGGTCGCTTCTTGACGTGTGAATTTGGAGACGGGTGGCTGGCACGTTGTAATTTGTTCGGAGTCCGTGCTGTGGCCCACTGCGTCTCGGTGGGTCCACTTTTCCTATCGGCTTCCCTCCCCTCCCCTCTCCTCTCCGCTGTGTGTGCCGCTCAGCCAAGGCGGCTACGCAACACAGCGGTGGTGATGGTGATGGTGCTGCTGCTGACGCTCTTGCGCATGTCTGACAGAGCAGAGGCTTCAACACATATCCCGCCACCTTGCCAGTCCTCTCTCTCCTCCTCCTCTCATGTGTCCCCAGCGACAACGCCCCCTCGCTCCCGTCAGTCTCAGGCACACACAGAATCGGGTTTTGCCCCACTGCACCTGGTGATGTTGGGATGCGGCAGCGTTGTGCGTGTATGTATGGAGACAGACAAGCAGAGAGAGGGTGGCCGAGAACCAGTCTTTCCATTACACTGTCTCTTATCCACTCCGCTTGCTTGTGTGGCTGGTTCGCCATATTAAAGGCTATCCCAAAGCATCATTGATAGTGGAAGTATAAAAACTTGCCATGTTGGACTACATTATAAATGAAACATTAACGAAGCACATTTTCTTTATGCTGTATTTTTATGGTGCGTTTAGACAAAATCAAAAGAAATGTGGAAAATTAAAGTGAAGGAGGGAAGTGTCACTTTGTCTATCAATTCATGTGACGTTTAACATATCCAGGCATCAATTTTTAAAAAGGAGTACAACCATACACAGTACAGTGGTTTGTGTCACTGATTAGGGATGCTACTAGATGCAACTTTAGGAAAATAGCATACAAACCAACTCCACAGCTGAGGTTTGGGAAATGCTGGTGTCTGCCAGCCAGGTGACAGTGCAGGTTTCCCCTCTCACAACCTTAGAACATCACATATCACAGACAAAGGCCATGCATTGTTTTATTTGGAACCTTGCTGGGGCACCGGCCTACACGCGCTCCAGACAATGTTTTGTTCATCCAACATTCAAAATGCTCAACACTCTTTGACTTGATTTGTCCTTCTAACTGGCTGATACAGTGGGTATAGGACAATGAATTTCTAGGCCCCTTTGCTGAGCTCCCCCATGCTTTAGCCATGTTATGTGGAATTGAAGATAATAGCAGAAGCACCTCCTTGACACTGTTTTACATGTTTCATTCCTCTGCACTACAAAAAGTACTGGGAATACACCTTCTACAATGTGTCTCTCCAAGCAAGCGCCATCAACTCCTAAGTTCAGAAGCTCAGTACAGCTGCCTAAGTTTGTAAGGTCATTGCCCCTGACGAGCTCAGCTGAGGCTGCTCATGCTTGAGTGATGCTGACGTCGCCACCTGTTTGGACTGTTTGCTAACACACTCATCTTTGATATAGGAGCTCACTGGCAGCAGGGACAGAGGTGCTGTGGTGAAAGTAATAGCTGTATAGCTGTATGTGTGCTCCTGCTAACACCAGCTCTGTCCTAAACTAAAGAAAGTCCCAAAAAGTGCACATTTAAGTCGACTGAACCCACATTTTGTAATAATCAGTGCTGATTAAATGAACTTGTTCATATGTTTTCACATAAGCTGTCTTTTGTTAAGACACAGCTGATATGAAGCTGCTATTGAATAAAAGGGAACAAAAAAATATGAGGAGGACCAGGAAGCAAATTCAGTAATCGTACTGTATCAGGGTGGCTTGAGAACAACTGTTGCAACACTGATTTGCATAATGAACTGAAATTAACCATAAACACCACACGTATGCAGGCTAACAAAAAGGACCTTATTAGTTGATCCTTGCATGTGTGTGAGTGAGTGATGTGGAAGGGGAGGGCTTTTGGCTACTCTGACATGAGTGATTTAATTTAGCACCATTGTGTTGTGGTCAGCCCATTCATCTGCTTTCATTGTGTGTGTATGTGTGTGTGTTGTATTTAGAGTCTGACTGCTGTGTTTGTATTCTTTGATAAGGCTTTTCACTGAGGCAGCGCTGTAGTGTTTTTTTATGTGAAAGGTCAAAGTGCAAAGAGAGCAGGACAGAAAGAAAAGAGGGACAAATGTAAGTGTAGAGCAGGGGTTCTCAACCTTTTGTAACTTAAGGCCTACCTTTTATTGTAAACAAATTTCCAAGGACCACCTTGTCAAATAAATGAGAAAAAAACATAAAATAATATATTGAATATATGTAATTTAATGCATTCAGGGTCATATTTCCTTATCACATGCTTTGGAGCTTTTACTGGCGCAGGGTTGTCTCTCACATCACTTTTTCATTTCATAAACTGATCCATTTTGTGTCACTGCATGTGAGGAAACATTGGCTGACAAGCTACCTAACAGCGGCAAAACACGTTTGTCATTTCCGGAGGACGTGTCGGGAGTGATATCATGATATTCAAACCTAACTGGTCAGTGAAATTATCCATCCATCGCTCCATTATCTATGCCGCTTATCCTGAACAGGGTCCATTAAAATTATGCATTTTGATGTTTTTTTTTATGTGAATTCTTGAGCACATTCAGTAAATAAAACTAAATGAATAATAAAAATAATAATTTTAATCTAACCCTTTGCAGTACTATTCCAGTACCCATCAGATGAGACCCACCAGTGAGAAAAACTGGCGTAGAGCAAAACATGGATTTAAGCTCTTGCAAGTAGAGTAAAAACACACTTAAACAGCTGATACTTCCCTGTAGATAATCTGATTCTGCCTATATGTACAGTACTAGCATAACTGTGACGCCTGCTGGCTGTTGGGCTCTTAGTCCTAGTACAACCATTGTCTTTTGCTGGACTGGTGTGATGTTAAGTGTTTATTTCTGAAGTCATTTTTGCTTCTGAGTATTCAGTCCTGACAGGCCTTTACAGATCTTTTAAGCTTACAGAGTCACTTAACATCTGGTAGGGTGAATGATATTCTATAGCATGTTAAACTTAATTTCTAGGCTCAACTGTGGGGACCAATAACATCAGTGCAAAACATCCTCCCTCTGTAGCCCCTCCATTATCTATGTATTAACATTCAACACAACAATCTTGGGAAATATGCAAATTGAACAAATACAGATCTGTCATGCACATAAGCAGAGCGCTAATCCAGGGCTAATTCCAGGGCAGAGGTGAGGGTAGATGAGCGAGTAATATCTAAAACATGACAACCATGAGTGAGGGTACCAAGCAGCTAGTACAGTACATATGCGATATGCCAACTGGTTTTGCTCCAAGGGTTTGAATATACAGTACGCTGGCCGTGTGTTTTAGGTTACGCTAAGCTAATCATTTGAACACAATCAAAATACAGTCTCTCTATATCAATATACATTTTACACTTAAAAAAAGTATAACGACACACGGGCAGAGGGTGAAGCGTATTGTTAGACAGCAGGTTTCAGAATGAATTTAAAATGCCTACATACATACTTACATTACACAGTTTGCATAAAGATTATGAAAATGCATTTACATATATCTACTCTACATGTATCTTATTACTCTGATCTTAAGATTAAATTCTCTGATTATGCAAAATCAGTTGAATTTTATTCTTTTTTTTTTATTATTTTCTAATCTTGTATGTCTAGTGATTTCATTCACATGAAAAATTATTAAACTAGACAAAACCAACATTGGGTTATATGCACAGGAAATGCCCCAGCAGTGCACACAGGGCAGTGTCCTCACTGCTGTTCACTTCTAGTGGGTTTTAGCCACTTAAAACCTTACAGATGACCTAACAGGGGTAGACCTTGTCACACTCTTTTTTTTTTTCCTTCCCCAGTGGCACATTACAGCCCCAGGACTCAGCCTCATAGTCTGACCCCTAGAAAGGAAAGGTCCCTGTGCTGTCTGGAGAAATAAAAAAAACAAGGTGACAACAGCAGGTCGCAGAGAGGCACGGTGTCTGCCTGTCTTGCAGAAGGACCAGAGGCACGAGGACCTTTCGCCCTCACTGACAGCTGTAGTTAATCAAGTGAATCATAGCACACCTGAGTTTAGCACACCTGACACTAAGTCTCCCTGCGACCTTCGACCACTGTGTCCTTATAAAACAAATATCTGCATTATAACACTAGATGAAAAGTGAGAGGGTATACAGTACTATCACACACGCAGTATATACTTGTAGTAACTCACAAAGACAGAATGTTGATTACAAGGAACGAGGAGAAGACACTTCATGCACTCAAATAGTTGGGTAACAAAGAGGAAACATACCAAGCTAATATACAGTGGGTACGGAAAGTATTCAGCCCCCCTTAAATTTTTCACTCTTTGTTATATTGCAGCCATATGCTAAAATCATTTAAGTTCATTTTTTTCCTCAATGTACACACAGCACCCCATATTGACAGAAAAACACAGAATTTTTGACATTTTTGCAGATTTATTTAAAAAGAAAAACTGAAGGACTCCAAGATGGTGAGAAATAAGATTCTTTGGTCTGGTGAGACCAAGATAGAACTTTTTGGCCTTAATTCTAAGCAGTATGTGTGGAGAAAACCAGGCACTGCTCATCACCTGTCCAATACAGTCCCAACAGTGAAGCATGGTGGTGGCAGCATCATGCTATGGGGGTGTTTTTCAGCTGCAGGGACAGGACGACTGGTTGCAATCAAAGGAAGGATGAATGCGGCCAAGTACAGGGATATCCTGGACGAAAACCTTCTCCAGAGGGCTCAGGACCTCAGACTGGGCCGAAGGTTCACCTTCCAACAAGACAACGACCCTAAGCACACAGCTAAAATAACGAAGGAGTGGCTTCACAACAACTCAGTGACTGTTCTTGAATGGCCCAGCCAGAGCCCTGACTTAAACCCAATTGAGCATCTCTGGAGAGACCTGAAAATGGCTGTCCACCAACGTTTACCATCCAACCTGACAGAACTGGAGAGGATCTGCAAGGAGGAATGGCAGAGGATCCCCAAATGCAGGTGTGAAAAACTTGTTGCATCATTCCCAAAAAGACTCATGGCTGTATTAGCTCAAAAGGGTGCTTCTACTAAATACTGAGCAAAGGGTCTGAATACTTATGACCATTTGATATTTCAGTTTTTCTTTTTTAATAAATCTGCAAAAATGTCAAAAATTCTGTTTTTCTGTCAATATGGGGTGCTGTGTGTACATTAATGAGGAAAAAAATGAACTTAAATGATTTTAGCATATGGCTGCAATATAACAAAGAGTGAAAAATTTAAGGGGGTCTGAATACTTTCCATACCCACTGTACATACGTACAGACGTACACATTGCACACAAGTGTCCTTGAGGGAGCACTTGACTATCTCTACCTGGATAAATAGGAGGATATTTTTAATGTCAAACATTCCTTCTGTGAACATAAGTAAATTCAAAATGTAACAAAGGCCTCCACACAAACCCCACATCCACCACCAGCCCTTATGGTTACTGAGGGGCTTATAAATATTGATAGGAGGGTAAGAAATGAAAAGAGGTGGTGGAGAAACTGAAAACAACACTGAAAACTCCATAAACCCTTCATCATACAGTGCGCCTAATCCAAGAGCTTGAGTCATGAGTTTATAATCCTGGCATGCCTCATTTTTGACAAATGAGGTATTGCAAAAAAAGAAGACTAACACTAGAGCTGTCTCCACCATCAATGTGTTGTTTTATCATGCTGTCAAGGTCCTTAACAATCCAGGAGTGACTGAAATTGCAGTTTGTGTGCAGGTTGTGTCAGTTGTGTGTGTGTGTGTGTGTGTGTGTGTGTGTGAGTGAGAGAGAGAATACGCATGCTTGTGCAAAGAGCTCTGGGGATGGACGTGACACAATGTCAGCTTGTCTCCACTCGGGGCGGCACAGCTGGTATCAGTTCCAATAATCAGCCAAGGCGATAAGCTGGCCATCAAAACACACACACACACAGTGGAGCAGATGGATGCCGCTATTAAAGGAAAGGGCATTGCCAGTGTTGCCATCGCAGTGACACAAATCCTCCAGAAGGACAGATTCTTAGAAAGAAGCTGCAGCCAGCACTGAGTACTGAAACCAGTCAACCAGAGATGAAAGAAAGAGACATGAGAGGTGAACGGGCACTTTGTCCTCAGTTTAGTGTCGCTGACTCAGTGAATCAAGACCACTACTAGTGTTAGTCTCCTTCTAATACAGTCAGTAGAAGGCTACCAAGGTTTTACTGGTATTATGTTGGACAGGAACCTTAAAGTATCTCTATCCTCTTGTGTAATACACACACAAATGCTTTTACTGTAAGAACAAGAAAAATGAGTCCCAGAGGGATGTGTGTGTGTGTGCATGTGTGTGTGTGTGTGTGTAAGTGAGAGAGATGTTTCATGCCCTCTTTTCTAAGGGAGCAACAATCAGTGTTGAGCACAAGACAGATTATCAATGTGTTCCTTGCACAGTGACCTCGTGTTGGTTTCAGTTCTAATGAATTCACACCTTATCAAATCCTTACTTCACCATGCCCACGTCTGTGTTGCTGAACTAGCTTGTGGCCGATACGGATAGTCCTTTCTGTCCACACATTAGCGGTGAAAGATTCCGAAGAAAGTTAAATTCCATTTCCCAGATGACTACAGTGGTATGCCTCTGATGGTAAATTAAGCTGCCCAATTATCTATCCCCTTTGACTGGCAAAGGCTACTGCACAATCCAATAAACTGAGATGAAATTTAGACTCCTGTTTTATTGGAAACCTGACACCTCCCAGCTCCGCTTGGTAAACCGAATCCACAGCGCTGGAATAATGCAATTATCTTCAACACGAGGCAATTAGGCTGTGATTCAAGCAGTTGCTGTGATGCTATTTAATGAAAATTGTGTTTCCTCGCATCCAACCATCTATGTATTAGACTGCCCTTTGTCCACATATCAGCTGCAGGAGAGCTTTGAAGTGGTGGCATCACATGATGCATGATTAGGGATGAGCTGAACAAAAATGTTCCTTGACATAAGGTGCATGTGGAATACATAGAGTAACGTTATCTTTGCATACAAACAAAATGAACAAACTAAAAATTCAAAGATTCTTTGAAATAAACATTGTGGCACAGCAGGAAGTTACATTAGGTGGACCCTGACAACCATAACTACTCCTCTATAATAACTAAATGTGGAATGTGGATGTGGAACTCTAAAACCCACAGCACCAGCTCTTAACATCAGCTCTAGTTAGTAGAACTGTTAGGGGGGGTGTAGTTGTGACTAAAATATCCTATAAGGCAGCTTGGATGCAAAAACTCATTTTTCTTAGTGTGCATGGACACACATTTAGCAGTGTTCCCACACATACACACAATCCCTTGAACCCCTCCATTGTAGGAGTTACAGAGTGATGTGCTGAGTGAGGGACAGCTGTCAACACAGACCTGTGCTGAGAATAGCAACTCACCTGTCTCCGCTGACACTGTCAAATCTGTGTACACAGAGTAGAACCTCAGACAGTTTATCTAGATCCACCCCGACATGCAGCCCCACAGCACTGCTTAAATATTGACTCGCATTGGAACAGACTAATCTTAACAAAGTATTAACCGGTTCCTCAGGGAGGATCTTGTAGACACCGATAAGTGAGTGCCAAAGGGAAATAAGGAAGACACAATTAGAAAGCTAATCTGTTTAAGTTACAATAGAACACAATCTTACACAGGATTTCACATGCTATACCGTAGATTTCTTTGCATCTAATGACAGGTAGGGTACTGTTTTTCCTCTGGTGATGATGATCTTGTGCTCAGCACTTTATTCTCCCCGCACTCACAAATCTGAAGTGTTGCAGTGTTTTGTGTGTGTGTGTGTGTGTGTGTGTGTGTGTGTGTCTTCCGACTCACCATTTGATTCCCCCCCGAGTCTGCAGAGTCGTGCTGTGTTGGCTGAAGAGAGGGGTGGTGGTGCTGCTAGAGTGTGGGCCAAAGAACAGTGAAGAGTGAGTGAAGCCGAGGCAAGGTGAGGCAGGGGAGAGACATAGTTGGTTTACAACAATGAGGCTTCAACTAGGTCAGCATTTCTGTGTCTATAAGTCCTGCGTTCTCTCCAACCTCCAGCACTGGTTGTGAATTGTGAATGTGTGTGTATGACTGCAGTAAAACCTGGGTGTTAATCTGTGAGCCCTCACCTTTTCCCCTTCAGCGCTATTGTTTTGTCAACATAAAGGCTCTTGCTCCTTGTCATCTGAGCCGAGGCTTAGCCACAGCTACACAGGATTCTCTCTTTCGAAGTCTTCTGTCTTTTATCAGCAGAGCCGGCTCAGAGGACACACCTCTAGAGATGTTGAGTCCCAGAGGGAAAGAATAACAACAATAGAACAATGCTGCAGCATGATGAGCCAATAAGCCAAAGGACCCTGTATCTGTACTCTGCCAGCTAGAAGTGAACGCTTGTGTCTATATGTATGTGTGTGTGTGTGTGTGTATAGTTTTACTGATGTGTGGGGGAATGCATGTGCCTGAGCGAGGCAAAGAAAAATGAATTTAAAAAAGCAACAAAAAAAAAGCACAGCGAGTATAAGGATCTGGAAAATTTAAAGGACACAGCATATTCTTTGCACACATACATTTATATACTGAATGCAAAAAATGTTAAGGAAGAAAATCACTGGGTGCATATTTGAGAAATGTGGACTTCCAAATTCCACATTTTGGGAAGGACACTTATTTGTGTTTTTGCCAAGAGTTAGATGAGAAATTGATCACACTCTCATGCCTGCCCATTAAAACTGAGGCCAGGAGATGATTATCTTATCTTAGCTTGAAAATGTGATGCAGAGGGCAACAGCTAGCCTGGATCTGCCCAGAGGTTTAAAAAAAAAAAAAAAAAAAATCAATCTACCTACCAACACCTCTAGTGTGAGCTTGTGTGTGGTGACAAATTAGCATAAATTGCTGCACTACAGTAAATTTGACATTTTAAGTTTAACAATGTACTGACAGAATGGTAAATTAATGAGAGACCCTATGACCTTGATGAAATCCAGGACCCCTAATACTGAGCGATATGAAGTAGGTGTGAAGGACAGTATCACAGCTCACTGAAAAACAGGCTTGTATATTTGAGAGAAATGTTGCCAGTGAAAAAAGAGAGACCATAAAAGGAATTCCTGCTAGTAAGAATGACCTTGTAATTCACACAAGAGCAAAAAATGACTGAGGCATTCTAGAGTTTTTATCTTCAGAATGGAAAGTGAATTAGAGAGCCACCACAGTCTCCACACCACTCGGGTAATAAGTATCAAGTTTCACTTAATTTCATCATCCCACTATGAGGGTCCATTTAAGGATCAAATATTTTCTTGCTATTTGTGGGAAGTCAAATCGCACAATGCAATCGCATGCGCGCACATGTAAACAATGGCCGACTGTCTCCTTGTTGTCAAGGTTACACAAGAGTTGTTCTGTTGCTCACAACACATTTGCATCAAACCACAATCCAGCAGATTAACAAACATCCTCTCTGTTAATACATGTCACTGCCAATTACAGTGTCGGGTGATCTAACAACTAAATGGCACGACATACGGCACACTCACATCCAAATACTAAAATTCATGCAGGTGGGTTTTAGGTGTGTGGAAAAACTGCAAATAACAGCTAATGTTTTAGAAAGCAAGGGAGGAACTGGGCGACAGGAAGCCGGGCAGAGATGAGAGGGAATGTTCTGTGCCAGGAACAAGCCTTTCAGGATTTGCTCTGTCATGCAGTTACAACTGCAGAAATAGTGGTTGGCAAGATGAGGCCTGACAGGCTGAACAGACACAGAAAATGCAATGGAAGTACACACAGCTGCAAACTTTTATGAGCAGATAAAACACTGAGCAATGTACACATACAGACAGTAAGTATGTGGACAGAACAAAACACTGGCTGCAGACATTCACACACCTAAACAAATGAGTGTCTACAGTACCTTTGTATGACGGTAACATAGATTATAGACAAAAGATGAAGGATATAGTTGTGTGTTATAAAAATAGCTCTGATTCAAGTGTAGCAACACACTTTTAGTCATGTGTTGTTACAATGTTGAGATAAAATGTAGATCTTTTATTGTTCAACAGACTGCAGGTTCGCACGAGTGACCATCATTTCTTCTTGCCAGAAGTATTTGCATGTTTTTTGGGCTTCTGGGTGGCAGCAGAGGTTGGGGCTCTTTTTTCCAGAACTGACTGCTGGGCCTCCTCCAGAGCTGGTGTCTCTTCTTGTTCCTTCTTTATGGTCGCCATCTGACGGCTATTAAATGCCTCACAAGCATTGATGAATTTCTTATGCTGCTGCTTCAGGGCTGCCTGGAGACAAAACAGAAAGGTGAGGAGAAAGAATTTACAGAATGATGACTAATCAGAAGGAAAGACACCTGACAAAAAGTCTCACTCTATTGCTCTGTGACAGTCAATATTCCTGTCTACAGGCAGTTTTGGACATCTCACACTTCTCTCTCTCTTATGACTGACCTGCATGTTCTCAGACATCTTCAGCTGATGTCTCATTAGCTCCTTCCTATTCAGCTCCTGTTGTTTCCGGTGCTCCAGATCATTGTCCCGCACCAAACGGTAGGTCTGTATTTTTTCTAAACGCTCCCTCTCACGGGTCTCCTCTATTTGGGAGTCCATCAGCACTGAAAAATCCCTTTGGCGTCTATGGGAGTACACAAAAACTTGATACAATGTGCTCATACAAAATATAACAATTTACTGTCACATGAGCTTATTCCTTTTACACATTTTCAGTATTGTCTCTAAGCAGCATGTTGGCTAGTTTATTAATATACAGTAGTGAATGAGTATAAATATTGTGTCGTGCAGTTGGATACTGTATGCACCATCAAATTCTCAATGGAGTATTTTGAGGATCAGAAACTTAAAAATTATTGTCACCTCAAACTATTGTAAATCTTATCAAATTCTTTTAGGTTGCACATTTTGCAGGTTATTTTGTTTAGATGGGACAACTAAGAGGCAGAGAAAATGCAGAGATATGCAGAAGAAATAATGAAGACACAGTCCCATGGCCTTATCTTATATCCCATGTTGTATAGACCGACCGATATCTGAGAAGTCTATTTGGTTATGGTTATAACCATCATATTTGGTTATTTTGCTGTTAGAACTTGATTTGGGTGAGTGTGTGTGCAAAGAATGACAGAAGCAACAAAAGATGGAGAAATAAACAAAGTGTACAAGTGAGGCAGTTAAACATGTGTTTGAGAAAAAATGACAGGGACTAGCCCTATGAAACACACACAAATTCAGAGAGATTATTATAGCACTAAATGTGGCTAACTATTTCTTATATGCTGACCTTAATGAAGAGGGGTTTGGCAGTAATGATGTAGTTCATTCGGTGAATCAGCCTCTTTCACTGTATGCAATAACACATGTGCAAATGCTTCAAAGATGTGTGCATGAGTGTGAATCTATGATGTGCCCTGTGCTGTGCCTTTGTGGGAGAGAGCTGCACTGCAGACTAATCACACTCCCCTAATAGGCTGCTACTCCAGATCTCTTTCTTTGCCTGGACTGTAGGCCACAGAGTCAGCAGCCGGACCCAGACACACATGCACTCATTCGCAGCAGGAAAGGATGAATGGTGATAATGGAGGGGGGGGACATTTCATTGAAGCGACAAGCTCATTGCGGTCCTGAAATAGGTCTCTAATTAACACTCAAATATTATCTCATTTATCATGTCGAAGGACAAACAGAAGGAGACATGGAAAGAGAGAAGGTGTGAGGGAGAGGAATAGGAGACTCAGGGGGAACTGTGGAGGCAGACGCTACCCTTCTGAACACAGACTGCATCAAAAGTGGACACTTTACATGTTAACAAGGGTGCTTGTGAAACTAACTGTGTATTCATATTAAAGAGTTTCTTTAATGAATATTTTGGCTAATTTAACATTCTCTGGAGTTGCATACCTGCCCAACTCTCTAGCTCTGTGTGACATTACTGTTAGCCAGATGTATAGTGGAGCTGGTGCATTTCCACTATGGACTATGTGCACACATACAGTGTGCAGTCACACCCTGCAGTTAAAGCTCAATTAAGGCTCACTAAACTAGAAACGAATGATCCAACAACTACATTAAGCAAATGGAGCACACACTTCAACTATTAAAAATAAATAAATAAATCACCCATATTAATAAAAAAATACTATGAGATGATGACTCAGTCTTGGTGGTTTATGCATTATTACCGATCTCTCCTCTCTAAGCACAGAAATGAATTTGTCTGTTGGAACAGGCTGAACCGGGGTCTGTTACAGGAAGGTAAGTAAGCAGCAACAGCGCCCCAACAAACAAACAAAATTCTGCAATGTACAGTATAGTTATCTGACCAGACAGCATAACTGGTGATGGCTACAGTCTGCTCTCATCATCAATCTAACTTAATAATCATACTGTCCAAATTGAGAAGTAAAACAGATGTGAAGAAGGATCAAAATCAAGAGAAAAAGGGTGAGAATGTTGCTGAGCACCTGATAAAGGGAGTGTAGTCCATGTGAGGACAGGGGGTGTCAATCAACCTTTGCCTGGATGGACTGAGAGAGGTATCATGACCAGATCTATGAGCAGCTGCAAATTATAAAAGGCCTCATTACCATACGGTATGTGACAAGTAATGAAAACAGGAAGTACCCAAACACATATCTATGCATGTATGTACAGTATATGTGTGCACATCTAGAGTATAGTACCAGATTCTCTGCTTTCTGCATCATCTGTAGCAGCTTCATTGTGTGTTTGATGTACTTGGTTAAGAAACTGGAGACGACACTGTAAAGCCTAAAATGACAGCAAAACATTGTCTGTTGCTGCTGATGCTTAGAAAAGCATTAAAATGCATTTTCAAAATCATACCTTTTGGGAAAACTTCATTAAAAGGATTCCAACTAATATGTAATTACTTTAAATCACCCTCACAGACACAGTCCTGGGTTACCTTTGCACCACGGCCTGGCTCAGCCATTTCCCAAGCTTTTTTAATGGCTTTAATCTGGTCCATTCTCTCAGTGTCCTTCTTCACTTCCATGCTCCCTGCTTTGCTCTTGTCACTGGCCACGTGCAGAATCCAGTGTGGCTTACTCAGATCAAAGCTCTGCACAAACATATGAAGCACACACAGACAAATAGTGTAAACAAGAGCACTCAGAGAGTGCATGTACCTCAGCCAAGGCACAACATTCGCTCATGCAAATGGGTCCCTTGTGAAAAATGAGATCCAGAACAATACAAAATGTGTCCTAAAATCCTTGATCTGGATCATCTTTTAGGGTATGAAAGGCAGTTGTACAGTGCATCTTTTGTGAACATTTCAGGGTCCTGTCTTCATTATAGGTCAGGTTATCGTAAAAAATATGCATTAGTCCGAATCAAGTCTCAAGTCCCCAGTATTCGAGTCCGAGTCAAGTCTGAGTCACTAAAGAATAATCCAGGTCGAGACCGAGTTAAGTCCCCGTTAGCTAAGTCAGCCATCAAGGTCTATATTAAACACAGTCGACACAGTTCTAACCATTTTATATTCTAAGCTTTCTAAAAGTGTATTGCATCACCATAGTGCTACATAAAAATCATTTATAGAAAGGCAGAGTGTATGCCTTGATGGAAGTGTTCTGGATAGAGCATGGTGCAGATGCCAAATTATGGGCCTGTTGCACAAAAAAAAGTTTGAGTCCTTGTCTCCAACATCCAAAAACAGCCAGTGCTCAAGTCCAAGTCAAGTAACAAGTCCTGAAAATGGACTCGAGTTGGACTCAAGTCAGAGTGTTGGACTCGAGTACTGCCTGTCTTTTATTCAGTGTAAATGCAAACCTGGCAATTGTGGGATTTGCATAATGCCAGTTTCTATTCATCAGTATTTCAGAGCAGCTGACAGCCAAGTCAAGCAAATATGTAAATGTCAGTCTGATTTTAATAAAATACACTAAAAATACTATATAGAAAAAAAGATGTCAACAATCTCAATACATGAGATGTAGAAGAAATTCTGTGAAAAACTGTTATGTACTCCACTGAAGTGTTTCAATTCCTTCCTCTCAGACAGGTTCATATACTGTTGACAATTATTTTAGGCAGTTTTACATATACACATACTGTGTGTGTGTGTGTGTGTGTGTGTGTGTGTGTGTGTGTGTGTGTGTGTGTGTGTGTGTGTGTGTGTGTATATATAGTTGGGGGTTCAAACCCTGGTCAGGGCATGGTCAATATCCCGCCTGGGTCCTTAGGCAAGGCCCTTAATGCTATCTGCCTACATCATCGGTAATGAGAGTTAGAAAAATAAGAGTCACACCGGCTCGGACATCGCCCGGGTCAACAAGGTCTGCATCAGGTGTTGGTGAACCAGGGCAACCTGAAGAGAAGTGGGTTACTGGAACAAGACATTCATGGACAAGAGAGGAGAACAGGGAACTATTGGAATGCTACTATAAAAGTAACCACAGCAAGAGGGGTTACATACAAAGGATGTGGGACCTATGGATACTTCGAAACCCAACATCTACACTAACATCGAAACAACTAGTAGCTCAATGCTTTAACATCCGCAAGAAGCATCTGCTATCACAACTAGAGATTGACAAGGTACAACGTGAATGCTCCAGCAAGGGGGAGCAAGGGCAACAGGTCAGGGGGGAAATATCATCATGACCCCCACAATTGGAGATTGGGTACCAAGCCCCAATAAACAGGCCTGGATGAGCTTGATTCAAGGGCTGCTGACCTGAGACTGAAGATCATGAGCAAGATGGACACCTGGAACTCCTGTGGCCAATTACCAAGACTAAGTGAAGTGCATTCTGAAAGTCTACTAGATGATGTGAATGCAGCACTAAGAACAATCCCTACTACGACCATCACTGAGACCAACAAGCTCATATACCCCACAGCAACAGTGATCCTTGAGATGCTTGGCTATAAGTTCAACAAAGGCCATAAGGAGCAGTATCCTTCATGGAGAAGGAGGTTGGAGACCAAGATCAAGGCAGCATGGAGAAAAGTTAGCCAGCTATCAGAATTGCAGAAAGGCGTGATGAAGAAAGGGGTACCTAAGAAATACAACTCACTGTCTATACCTGAGGCCTTAGAGACTGCCAAACAAAGGCTCACAGCCCTAGCCACACAGCTGAAGAGGTACACCAGAGAAGTTGAAGCCAGGAGAATAAACCGAATGTT